TAGCTGATTTTTCACTGAAAGTCCTTGTTGAGCAAAGTCTAGGTCAAACTCATTTAACTCACTTTGAGAGTGGAGCCAAAAAAAATTTAGAGACCTTTTACTCTAAACTCCTCTGTGATAGATGAAGTAAAAGAGGTTGAACAAAATGAATTTGATTCCCAGGCCACACACTAGATTATTTCCCAGATTACTGATTAAGAAATCGGTGCTCTTTCAACACCACCAGGCTGATTTCTGATGGTTCTGGGTGGGGGCTGTTACTCGATTCAAGGATCAGACCGTGTCCCCAAGAACAAATCATCAAGTTACTGGGAGCTTTTAGAAAACGAAGTAGATGATGGATAAGATGAATCACGAAAAAGGGGGGAAGTGGGAATTCAGGGATTCTGGATCTACGTTGATTTTGGATTTGTAATATCTAAGAAATAAACAGAAGCCACAGGAAGCAACAAACTCAGAGATTTTAAGATCCATATTTTCATGTAGAAAACTTATCCACCCACGGAGAGTTCAAGGATTGTGATTAAATGCTTAGGTTCTTAGAGTATTTTAAATAAATTAAGCCACGCCCTATAATCAAGGGAACAACTTCTCCATGGAATTTTTTTTCTCTAGGGTAAAACTTTGCCAAATAAACTTGGACTTGGGGCAAGTTTCAAAACCTATTTAGTGAAAGTTGTAAAGTTTTTACACCCAGTAATGAAGTAGTAAGAGAAGAAAGGTGAAGGAAAGACATAAAGGGAACTTTTATCCAGACCGGACTCCTGAGAATGAAAAAGGAAAATGGATAGAAAAGAAAAAAGGACCAGACAGGGAGCCAGGACACAGGCACAAGCTCTGGTTCAGGAACTGATCACCTATCCTGAGCCATGTTGTTTCACCTCTCCACTTCTCACTCCCCCATTTCTGTTCCTGTTTTAAGATGACAGAGTTGGGCTAGACTATGTCCATCATCCTTCCAGTTCTAACAGTCACGTATTCATGTACGAGTTACTTAGACTCCCAGTGCCTCAGCCTCCCCATTGACATCTGGCACATAGTACATGCTCATTAAGTCCTGTTGGATGAATTATTAAATGGACCGAAAAGCCCTGAAATTGGTGAACAATTAGTAAATTATGCCAGAATTGGACTCTGTAATATCACCATGCCATCGAAAATCATGTTTACGAAAAACATTTAATGACGTGGGTAACTATGTATGTGATAGACTGAAACTATCTGCTAATCCTACATTCATTCTCTCCTTCCTCGTTAGGAATGGAGCAGAGTCCCGATTCTTAGCAGACCATCATTTCACACAGAATAAAATATCATAGCTTCAGTGTCTCCTGCAAGTAAGAGAAATCATGTGATTGATTTCTATCAAAGAAGATGAAAGTAAAAGTGCTAGGTGGCACTTTTGAAAAATCTCCTATGAAGGAAAAGTGATCAGTCTACCCTCCCCCTTCTCCTTTTCTGCCTCTTGGACTATGGATGAAATGTTAAAGCTGTGTCGCTTTCTTTTCTGTTATATACAGTTAAACTTACACCTAAAAGGATATAGACAACAAACGGAAAAATTAAAAATTGTTTGCTATACTCTACCAGTTTTTCTGTAATGTAATTATTTTATATTTACTGTCTAAAAACACATTTTGTTGGTTTTTTCATGCTGTGACAATCAACAACAGAACTACATGGTCTAAAATGCTAAGTGATAATAATTAGACTGTTACTATTTGTATGAATTGAGTAGGCTTTTTTTTTAATTTCGCAATGTTCTCTTTCTTTTAAAACAATGAAAAATGTTTCCCTTGGATTCCTGTATTTTTTCCAGTGAGATCCGAATAAAGTGAGTAATTAGCCTTCAATAGATCCAGCAAGTCTGAACCTCAGAAAGTGAGGTAACCCCCGAGAATGTTGACAGTTTAGTAAGATGAGGTGCGATCGACCATGCAGTACCCACTGACTCAGAGTTTGCTGATGATGCTCTTGCTGCAGCTCTCAGTGAGGAAGACAAACACGCACATGAGTCAGGGCACCCATCACAGCCTACATCCTAAGGCCCAACCTGCTGCAACACAAGCAAGGCATCAAGGGAAAGGGAAGGTAGCGCCTCTGAGTTTGTTCTGGAGCAAATGCTTTAAAATACACATTAACAAAATGTAAGCATATTCGGCATAAAAGATAATGGGGATGCTGTGTTACAGCCCTTATCTATTAAACGAATATTTACTAAGCACCTATGATATGCCAGGTACTATGCCTGGCACATGCAATTAAGCAATAGAGACCAAAGAAGCCTCAAAACAAAATGAACTGCCTCGATGCATAAAAATGGAAAGTAACGTCAGAATCATGGTGGCATAGGATGCCCCTTGTTTTTGTCCCAGCCATTAATAACAAAAATTCAGCAACCATCATGAATAGAAGTGCTTCTAAGGGAGATGTGGGATCCAGCTCCATATACCAAGGGGCTCAGGGCGAGTCTCGCCACAGGTGCACTGGGAAATAGCAGACAAACTCTGTTACCAGCTATGGAACCTGCGGAGACTGAAAGAGTTCTGACCCTTCTCGGCCCCAGTCTAGGAGCACCTGCAGACTGTCACCTACAGACCAGACAAGAGAGCCTCTGTGAAAGTTCAGATTTTTAGAGGAGAAGTTCCATCATTCTATTGGAGAAAAAAAAAAGAGTTTGACACATTGGGGTGGGAAGGATGAATACCTCGTCCAGTAACACCTAACCAAATCAGAGTTACCCCATACTCATAAATAGGATAATGCAATCTCATAAAATGTAAGTTCTCCCAATTGAACTATAGATGAATACACTTCCAAACAAAATCCCAATAAGTTATTTTGTAGGATTTGATAATTTAGCTTTAATATTGCCTAAAAGAAGAACTCAAAACAGAAAAGATAGTCCTAAAAAAAGAATATGTTAAAGGAACTTGACCTACCAAATACCAAGACACTATAAAACTATAGTAATTAAAACAGTGTAGGATTGGCCCAGAAATAGACTCACGCAACTATAGGAATTCGATATATGATAAAAGTGGCACTGTAGACTAATGCAGAAACGAAAGACTACTCAATAACTGATGATGGAACATTTGGTTTTCCATATAAGAAAAAAATAAAATTGAGTTCTTTCCTTACACTATGCCCAACGATCAATTTTAAGCAGAATAAGAACTTAAATGAAAAAGACACAACTTTAAATTTTAGGAATTTAATATCGATTAGTACCTTCTTGACCTTGACTTAAGAATTTCCAGATGCCAAGGTAACTCACTAGTACTCATAAGTGCTTAATATCTAAACATTGCAACTTTACCTTGTATACTGGATCTTCCCCAGTAACTACAGACACATGTTTATTCATGTGTATCCATATGTATGCACATATGCCCTTATATACCTGTCTCCACCTACATGAACCTATCTGCGTACATGCATGCACGCATACATGAACATACACATCATTACTTTAGTTCAAAATATGGTGTGACAGCAGTAATAGAAAGAGCACTAAACTAGCGATTAGAAGTCCTTGTACGTGACTTTATGTAAGTTAGCGTGTGTGTGCTCCCATTTATCTTCAAACCCGAATAAACACACATGTTCCCACATTCTTGCACGGATTTTTAAAAGATGATTTATTCAACACAGATTAAGCTGAATGAAAACTTCTGAGAACATTGTGTCTTCACAATGCCAATGGCTATTTTATTGCTATCATTCTCATAGTCAAGATGAACATTTGCATGTTTGTTAGGCATCGAATGGAATGAAAGTTTTTTTAACACTCCCCAGCACTGATCACACTTCTCCTGATGATTATGCTTACTTCAACAAGTTCTTGTAAGGATTAAAGTGGTTAATGCTAAGTGATCAGTAAACACTTGAGGAGTGAATAATTGATCTGGTAGTTACAAGGGCTTTAGGAGAAAGGGCAGGGAAGAAGTAAGGTCTAGGAAAACGCAATAAAGACATTATAAAGAAACAGGTGGCTGCCACTTCTGAAGAAAAGACTTTGATATAGGACTTTACAAAGTCCTGCAAACTTCTGAAGCTGCTATTGTTACTATCTCCATTTGTAAATATGGAAATTGAGTCTCAACGAGATTACATGACCTATGAATGGTTAATTATAAAGGACATCTATTCTGGCTCTTCTAATTCCACCCTGCACAAACTGGCTCCCTCTAGAGCAAAACAGAGTAAAGCAAAGGGAATTGATGGGGGCAGGAGTCCCTTTTCTGCTGGACAGAGAGGAATCAGCACTGCTGGGTGAATGCATGTTGACAATTTGTTCTCCCTGGCTCTGCTCTCCAACATTGCAGGCCACCACCAATCCTTGGTCCTTAAAAACTTCCTTGACTGTACTGCTCAGTGTCCATTCATTTAATCTTTGTCAAGGAGGCCTGAAGTGGGAAAAGCCCTGAAACCAGGCTTAAGGATCCTGGATTCTTGCCTTCTCCTTGCTCCGGACGTATTGTGTGACTCTGAGTAGATCCTTTTCTACATTTTCTACATTTATTTATTCATCTGCCTGCCGAGAGCATGAAATAAAGGAATAAAAGTGCCTTAAATATCATAAAAGAGACAGAATTAATTTCATCAAGCACTGCGTTAGCCACCACAAAACAATTATCTAGTGGTATTGTCCATTACACAGGTGAGATCCTTGAACTTCCAAGAGGCTCTTTCATTCATAAGCTCTCACAGGTTTCCAGAATGAGCCTTAATTATCATACTCAGAGCCTCTTGAACTGTGACCTCCTTGAGAATAGAGATTACATGTTACTTTTATTTGTATCCCAGCATTACAAACACTCAATAAATATTTAAAGAAGGAAAGACTGAAGGAATATATGAGGTTAATATTAGGAAAAGAGCTGGGAGGACAGCTGTCATTATAAGCCCCCCAAACTAAAGATGCAAAGCCTGTGTTAGAAGCTACAAGATGGGAAGTCTCCCAAGTTTCAGGCTAAATGAGATTCCCTGGACTGTCACTTCTCCCCCAAGCTCCCTTTGACCCTAAACAGTTTCTTCATGGCATTTTTCACCTCATTGTTCCTCAGCGTATAGATCAGAGGGTTCAACAAAGGTGGCATGACAATGTTAAAGAGGATGACAAGTTTGTCAGCAGCCAAGGTGGTAGAGGGACGGATGTACATGAACATGGGAGGCACAAGGACCAAAAGGACAGTGATGATATGTGAGCCACATGTAGACAGAGCCTTGCGCCGCCCCTCAGATGACCGGCTTCTCAAGTTCAGTAAGATGACCACATAGGAGATGATAAGGATGAGGAAGGACACCAAACTGATCATGCCACTGTTGGCCACGACGACAAGCCCCACCACGTAGGTGTCTGCACAGGCCAGCTTCAGCAAGGGGTGGACATCGCAAAAGAAGTTATCGATCTCATTGGGCCCACAAAAGGGGAGCTGCACTGTGAGGAGGGTCTGCAAGGTGGAATGCAGGAAGCCAGCCACCCAGGAGGCCCCCGCCAGCAAGCCGCACTTCCACCGATCCATGATGGTCGTGTAGTGCAGAGGTCTGCAGATGGCCACGTAGCGATCATAGGCCATGGCTGTGAGGAGGAAGATCTCAGTGCCACCAAAGAAGTGGGCAGAAAAGAGCTGGGTCATGCAGCCATTGAAGGAGATGGTCTTGCGCTCCACAAAAGTGTCAGCGATCATCTTGGGTGTGGTAGCGGATGGATAGCACACGTCAGCGAAAGACAAGTGGCTGAGGAAGAAATACATAGGAGCCTGCAGGGTCTTGCTGGCATTGATGGTGATGATGACCAGAAGGTTCCCCAGGACAGTGAGCACGTGAAAGATGGAGAAGATCACGAAGCACACATGCTGGAATGTCCTGCTCTGGAAAAGGCCGAACAACACAAACTCAGTCACGTTGTTCTTGGTGCCCATGGGTTCTCTACCCTGAGCACTAACAAAGTGGTTAGCTCTGCAAGGACACAAATTACAGGATATAAGAAAGTTTTCCTAATCTGAGGAGTCAGAAAACTGTATTCAGGTCTAATAATGATTCTAACACTCAATTTCAATTAGGAGAGAAAGGTACCGCACACCTACAAGCAATTCTCAGACAGCAGCTGAGAGTCCTACAATTCAACTCAGTAAGATAGCATCAGATCCCACAGGTTAAGGGTTTAGTCCTACAAGACTGCCCTCCCCCATTCAAAGGTCATTTGCAAGCCCAGGTCATCACTTGTGTGCTTCTAACACAATGGCTATTGATGAGGATTTCAGTGAACCCCTCCTTGGGTTCCACTGATTTTTTAGAGTGACTCGCAGAAATCAGAGAAAGATTTTACCTACAAGATTATCAGTTTATTATAAAAGGATATAACTCAGAAACAGCCAGATGGAAGAGATACATAGGGCAAGGTCTGTGGTAAGAGCATCCATGCTCTCTAAGCACATCCTCTCCCCCAGTCTCTACCTGTCTACCAACCTGCAAGCCCCATCCTTTGATTGATTAAATCATTGGCCATTGGTGATCGACCTCCAGCTCCTCTTCCCTCTTCTAGGTTAGAGGAATGGGACTGAAAGTACCAACCCTGCAATCACAGGGTTGGTTCCCCTGGTAACCAACCCCTATCCTTAGTTCACTTAGAGGCATTCTAAAAGTCACCTTATTAACGAAAGACACCTTTATCTCTCTCACTGGTCAGGAAATTTCAAGGGTTCTAAAAGCTCTGTGCTACAAATTGGAACAAAGACCAAATATATATTTCTTATAAGTCACAACATCACAAGGTTCCAACTGCTTTATATGCTGTGAACTTTGGCAAATCGAATAACTTTTCAGGACCTCGTTTTCAAAGTTTGAAAAGATTCCCAGACAAGAAAAAACTAAAGGAGTTCATCATCACCAAACCAGTATTACGAAAAATGTTAAAGGGACTTCTTTAAGAAGGAAAAATAAAGATCAAAAATATGAATAATAAAATGACAATAACTACATATCTATCATTATTTTAACTGTAAATTGATTAAAAATGCTCCATTCAAAAGATATAGGGTGGCTGAATGGATAAGAAAACAACTTTTTATTATGCTGCCTACAAGAGATTCACTTCAGATCGAAAGACACACACAAAGTAAAAGGATGGGAAAAGATATTCCATGAAAATCTGAGGTAGCAACACTTATACCAGACTAAGTAGACTTTTAAAAAAAGGCTGTAACAAGAGACCAAGAAGGGCCCAGTAATTCTGCTTCTGAGTAATTATCTTAAGAAAACCAAAATACTAATTTAAAAAGACACATGCATTCATATGTTCATTGCAGCATTGCTTACAATAGCCAAGATATGGAAGCAACCTAAGTGTTTATCAATAGATGTATGGATTAAGAAGAACTAATATATATATACATAATGGAATATTACTCAGCCATAAAAAAGAATAAAATCTTGCCATATGCAACAACACGGATGGACCTAGAGGGTATCATGCTAAGTGATATAAGTCAGAGGAAGATAAAAACTATATGATTTCACTTATATGTGGTATCTAAAAAAAAACAAAAAAAACAAAATAAACAAACAAACAAACCAGAAACAAACTCATAGATACTGAGAACATTTGGATGGATGCCAGATGGAAGGGACGTTGGCAGGATGGGTGAAAAAGGGGAAGGGATTAAGTACAAATTCATAGTTACAAAATAGTCACGGGGATGTAAAGTATAGTATAAGGAATATAGTCAGTAACATTGTAATCACTATGCATGGTGTCAAACGGGTACTAGATTTATACGAGTGATCATGTTATAAGTTATAAAAATGTCTAACCACTGTGTTGTATGCCTGAAACTAATATAAGATCGTACGCCAACTGTAATTAAAAAATAAAAAATTGTTTTAAAAAAACACAAAGTTTAAAAGATAAGGATATCTGTCACTTCCTCTGTGCTCCATTGTCCCTGCTACACACCATCATATTTGTGACACTGTTCCATAACCATGTACATGTCTACTCTCCCCAGCAGGCTGAGTTGCTTGACAAGGCTCCTGACCACCTGACTCTAGATAATGCTCAACATCTAGCACGTGGTATGCATTCAGTAAATGTTTGTGGAATAAAGGAATTAATAAATACCTGCCCTATCCACCTCAACATGTCCAAAAATAAACTCCCCATCTTTCTGCTAAAACATTTTCTTCTGAAAGCCTGTTATCTCAGTTGATGGCAACTCTGACTTTCTGAACCCTCGGCCTAAATACCTGGACGTCATCCTTGATTCCCCTCTTTTCATGTCTCACTTCAGTAAGAACTCCTGTTGTCTTTACCTCCACAAGGTAAGAGCCTACTCTCACCACCTTCACAGCCTCTCCTCCCCCTTCCCGCCTGGTTGAGCCACAATCACCTCTCCCTTGCTTCCTAGCTGGTATCCTTAATTCTCCTCTTACCACCTACCCTACCCCCAGTCTAATCTCATCACAACAGTCAGGGCTCCCTCGAAGCCCTTCAGTGGGTGCCCTCTCCGAGATTCAGAGTAAAATCCCAGAACTTTGCCATGTCACACAGGTGCTACACGATCTGAAACCCCGGCCTCTCTAATCTCACCTCCTCCCACTGTTCCCCTTGTTTCTCTCGTTCCAAGACCCCGCCCCCCTTGATATTCATCAAACACACCAGGCATGCTGCCACCTTGGGGACTTAGCACAGGTTGTGCCTTCTTCCGAGAACATTCTTATCTAGATAACTACTGGCTAACTCCTTCATTTCCCCAAAGTCTTTGTACAGATAACACTTTCTCAAGCAGGCTATTTGATCACCCTATTTAAAACTGCAACCTCCCAGCACGCTCAGTCTCCCTTGCCCTATTCCGCTTTTTCTTCTTTCCATATCACATACTGCCTTCGAATGTATTATTTATTTATTATATTTTATTGTCCTACGCCCCCACTAGAATATGAGCCCCATGAGGCAGGTTCATTGTTTGGCTCCCTAAGGCATCTCCAATGCTTAGAACATTGCCTGGCACACTGTAGGTGCCCAATTAATATTTCTTGATTAAATGAATGAATAAACCATAGTTATAGACATCAAAAATAATAATACCAATCTATATATACATAGGACTTTACAACTGTATGTAATCTTATTTCATGATCTAATATTTACTGACACTAATATGTGCCAGACACAGGCTTAGGTCCTTGCACATATTAGCTTTGGAAATGCATTTTATTTCCTCTCTCCTTTTACATAGGCAGGATCAAAAACTCAGTTATTTCTCAAGGTCATACACTGTCATAAGCAACAGCCATACCTCCTTCTATGCCACATATAAAACACTGTATGTGGAAAGCATTTTGGTATCTAGAAGCTATGTGGTTCCATGCAAACATCTACCCTGGGACATGTATAGTGCCAGAACACAGACCAGAGACTGACCTAGGAAAAAATGAAAGCATGTTAAACAAATGAATAAAAAAGTGAATGCAGAAACAAATGTCTCGGGGTCTAAGTAATTTGTGAATATATGATTATAAAAATTAACACAGTTTAACTCCAACAAAGACTGTTGGGCCCTCTAAGTGCCAACAAAGAATGTCACCGACCCTTACATGCCCAGGACCATAACAAAGGCTTTTCCCAACAGGGCTGTTTGAAGGATAAAATAAGATTCTTTTGAAAGGCAAGGGGAGAGATATGTTGACATTAGGAAGTCGGGTTTCAGGCCTTCTCTTCCATGTACATCAATCAATAAACTTGGAAAATTACAGTAAATTCTACCATGAGTACATCGGCGACAACTGGAGGATGCTGAGTGGTTATTAATGATTCATTGTCAAAGGCAGGTTAGTAGAAAATGGAACAAAGGAAGTGAAATCCCACAGGACTGTGTTTGAGCACTGTTTTTATGACATTTTGTTATTATGGTTGCAAAAATATCAAGTCAAATGATACTCATTACTAGCAGAAAAGTGAAGGATCCTGCACCATTATAAGGAGTTAGATAAGCTCCAGTCTTTGCTTCTCCAGGAGACTTAGGATCCCGGAAAAGGGTTCACAGAAGTCTGAGAAGAAGAATTAAAATGCCTCAGACACAGACTCACTGAAGTTGGCACAGAGGGTTTGTCTCAGACGAAATTAAAGTACAGCTGAAAACGAGAACAATAAGCGATGACACTGCCAAAGGCAAAAACAAGAAAATAATTGTCATCCCTCAGGATATTCTGCCCAGGCTTATTAAGCATCTCTCTCTCCTAGAAATTTCCCACAAGGAAATATATGTATTTTACAGCAACATTCTTCTTCTGTCCTCTTCTAAAATTCTGAAAATGGTTTGATCAGATGGTTACATTTAACCACAGGATAGAGAGAAAGGAGAGATAGCCAACCGGTTCCTGTCACTGAAGAAAATGCTACAACCAGAAATAATGCAATCATTGTGTACCCCAAAAATGAATTTGATAGCAGGTAGATAACCTAACCATTATTTCATGACGAAGAAATCCTACCACATTTTGTTTTTAGTTTTACAGTAAGTATAAAACACGTATGCTATATCCATCTGTTCTTTTGCAATGCTCCAAAAATAACCAATAAGAACTTTGTGACTTGAAACCAAATGCCTGCGTGGAATTACACAGTTGGTGTTTGGGCCATCATCTGAAAACTCCTGTAGGAGGCAGCATCGCAGTCAGCAAGACCCCAAGGCTCTGGAGCCTGATCCCATGAGACTGAATCCCAGCTCTGCCACAATCCAGCTGAATGACATTTGGCAACTTATCTCTCAGAAACTAACCTCTCAGAAACTCAGTTTCCACATATTCTAAAAATACATATCATCTAGAATAGCCGTAAGATAATGTAAAGGTATGGTCATGAGTTGCTTAACGATGGGGATCCATTCTGACAAATGCATCATTAGGCGATTTCATCATTGTG